CTTGATGCATAGGATACCATTTGAGAAATGCTGAGGCAAGAGCAAGGACTTAAGAGAAGATGGGTGTAGTTCCAGGAAGAGTAGGGTGATGAAGCTGAAACAAGAGGCAAGTGCCGGAGGACCTACAGGAAATAGTGCTAAGAAGGTCAGACTTTTGCCCACAGCAAGTGTGAAACCACTCAAAGGTTTTAAGCTGAAAAATGGCCTTGTTTGATTTACGATTTGAAGATCGCTTTTGTTGCTTGTGGAGAACAGAAGAGCACAGGACCAGTAGTGTCTGGAGGAAACAAGACTTGATGATGATTGAAATGTGGTGTAATGGAAGGGAATTAGGAATTAGCATGACTCCTAGGCTTCTAGGCTGAGAAACCATTTACTGAAAAAGAGAATGCAGAAGGAACGATGTGGAGATGAAAATGATGAGTGCAGATTTGGACAAGTTCAGAGTTGGAGGTTTCTGCCAGCTACTCAAGAGGGGACACCCGATAGGCATCTGAATGCATGAGTGGAGATTCCAGGAAAGAAATCTCAGCATATAAATGATAAATGACCAAACAACTAATTAGTATATTTCATGGTACATGTAATCTTTTTATGTCATTTTCACTTATTCTTTGTCTCTCAGCAAATTCATTTGTAGAAATGAATTCTGTTTCTGAAGTCGTCAACATATGGCTTCTCTTCTAATGTTGACCAACACTTGAAAAAATATAAATGTTATGTGTATTGTCTTGAACCTTCACCTTCATTATATAAACACCAAATCCTATCAAAGCAAACTCTGAGACTGCCAATTTTTTAAAAAGTGTATATGAAAATTTTAGATCTAAATGTAGTCCAAACTGTTCCTCATTATACAAATAGAAAACCATGGCCAGTGTGAATGTAAGTTTCACAAGGATACATAGCTAAGCAGTTGCAGAACTATACCTAGAAATCAGGACTCTACTTTTTGAGCAGTCTTATTTCACTACTTTTTTATTGCTTCCCTCTCCTATTGAAGAGCCACTGACTTCAGAGTCTCTTGCTAATGATTCATTCCTTCTGGAACATAGAACCATACCTACTATATTTGGTCTCAGAGCCTGACAGCTAGAAATGTTTTTATGGAAAATATATCTTAATGATAACAAATGGCCAAAAGAGTATGGGAGTGTTGCTCACACTTGCCTAGCATAGCAAGGCTCTGAGTTTGAGTCCCCAGCACCACACAAACAGAGAAAGAGAAAGAAAGGAGACAGAGAGAGAGAGGAGGGAAGGGAGTGGGGAGAGGAGGGCAGAAGAAGGAAGGGGAGCGGAGGGGAAGGGAGAGAGCTAAAGGAAAGCATGGATTTCTTATGACAGCACTTTAAAACCTTTTATGGTTCTCTAATGAACAAAATAACTTTTTGACACTGTATACAGACATAAAATTTTATAAACAGTTTCAGGTACACTGTAGTCTTCTAAAGAACTCCTGTTATATAATTTGGGCTACTCTCAAGGACATGTGAACCAGTTTTTCTAGAATGAAGTTCAAGAATTTCCTCATTTTCTTCTACCAATAAACATTAAGGGATTCAATGGTAATTCAGTTGACTTCTCTGATGCCTTTCAGACAGTCCATGTCTGCTGATCCATTAGTCACCACTGACTAATACCCATCTTGGGTGACACTCTGGGGAAGTTTTAAAAGGCAATTGGGTGTTACTGAATTTGAGAGTCAGAAATCTAATAATTCTTAGTAGAAATTTTATATCTTTCTAACATTCTTAAAATTAGCAGCCGTGTCAAATGTTTGGGTCCTGACAATAAGGGCTTAATCTTTCCTTATGAAAGTCAGGCTAAAGAGAGGCCTATCTTCTTATTTTTTGATGTCTCTACTTAAAAACAAAAGGGAGGAGGAGATATAAACTACTATCCTCACTTTCAAGCCATCCAAATTCAAGAAACATATGCAGGAATTATAATGTGATGTCCAGAGAGGGGGGAAGGCATTAGCCCTGATCCCCCTTTCCTTGTGGAAGTGAAGCCTCCCCTCCCTCTGCCACCTGCTTACCAGTGATCATCCGCACAGTTACTGAAGGCACACAGCCCTTCATTTCTTTAGCACTGGGAACTTATTCCCAGGCTATAGACCACCCTCCTACTCAGGATGAGGTTTTAGCTGATCAAGGTAACCTGCGTTTCCTTATTTACAAGTTTCTTTAAAATTCTGTATCTTCTGTAGAGCTTTTGGTGCCTTTTTTGTTACAAACATTTTTCATATTGCTATGTAAAACTATATCATTTGTGTGTCCTCCCTCCTTCCTAGGATGAAACCTTCATGTTATCTCATTTATAGCTTTATTCCTATTACCCAGTGGTGCCCAGTGCTGGTTGCTCATTCAATTAATGAGTATCTTCTCCCATATTCCTCAAGAGACCATGCTTATTTTACTTACAGCTTATAAAAGGATGGTCTGTTCCCTCTGGAGAACACTGCCTCATGGTTTCCCTCCAGTTTAGAACTTACCCAAGATTTTCAGTGCTCTAATAATATGGCCAGTAGAAAAAATTCTCCTTTTCATCAGAGACTTGAGTAGAGTGTTTCAGATGTTTGGCTGTGTAGACCAACAGCCTTGTACAAATCTGTATCCCTCTCCTTACTCCTTTATATGTCTCAGCTTATTTATCTATCAATGAGTTTATTTATCTGCAAGCAATAGCACCTCTTTTATAGGGTTATTTTGAAGATTAAGTTAGTTGTTATAGGTAAAGTGTTAAGTATTCTAGGACATATGTGTTTAATGTAAATAGGATAATAATGTGATGATGGTGATAAGGTTTGGTTAATAATGTCATAGGCTAAGTATATTAGTTGTTCTTGACAGAAACAAGATTTAATTTGGTTCATGGCTTCAGAGGCATCAGTTCGTCATGGCACTGGAGGGCATGGCAAAGCAGGAGGAAGCTCTCATCCCATCTATAAGGAAGCAGTGAAAGAGAATACAGGAAGGGCCAGGGCAAGATATAGCCCCAAGGACATGCCCCCAGTGACCTGTTCCTCTAGTGAGATCCTGCTTCCTACCTTTCACCATCTCCCAGTAATGCCATCATGTTAGGAATCCATCAAGAGACCAATCCACTCATTAGGTCAGAGCCCTCATGATCTAATCATCTCTGGAAACATCATCACAGATACTCCAAGAGGTGTGCTTTACTAATCTCCTAGATATTTCTCAGTCTAATCAAATTGATAATCGAGATTGACCGTCATAAACTGGACACTGGTGGCTCAGCCTGTAATCCTAACTACTTAGAAGGTTGAGGAGGATCGAGGTTGGAGACTGGTCTAGGAAATAGTTTGCAAGACCCTATCTCAATGGAAAAAAGCTGGATGTGGTGGCATGCACCTGTCATTGTAGCAATGGCAAAAGGTATAAAATAGCAGGATCAAGGTCCAGGCTGCCCTGGGCGAAAAACAAGACCCTATCCCCAAAATACCAGAGCAAAAAGGGTTGGAGGCATGGCTCAAGTGGTAGAGTACCTGCCAAGCAAACAGTAGGCCTTGAGTTCAAACACCAGTACCGCCAAAAAAAACAAAAAAGATTGACTACCACAGTGTGTTTTTATACTTTGTTCTCATCTGATAATTCCGTATTATTAATTTTTTTATCATTACTTTCTCAAAAAATAAGAATCAGATAATCTCTAGAAATATTTTTGTCACCTAAAATGTTTATATTAACTAATTTTTAAAAGATAGCTAATTAAGAAATCCAATTTGATTCCTTGTTTATAATTTTATGTGGTTTATTTTCATGAGGATACTGAATAAATTTTTCTTCCACAGAGTCTATGTGAAATAAGTTCCTGTATTTGGAACGTTTCTATAATACTGTATTCCATATTTGAATCTCTTATATATTTTGAAAGAAAAGATTAATAAAATATTACTTGTTATTATAAAACCAGGATAACCTACCCAACATGGAAAATTTCTTTCCCTTAGATTATTTTCACCAGTTAAAAAGATTAATTCACATTGAACTTAATAATACTCCTAAATGTGTTTTTTTCTTCCCCCATGATGAGTCCATAAATTCTTTCTGTTGGGAAGAATTATTTTTAGGTCTTTCTTAAGAGTGGGGTGGGGAGAGAATGAAAAGAAAACCTTCAATTACATTCCACACCCTTAATTGATGACTTACAGTAATCTGGACTGTGGGTGTAGGAGGAAACTACAAACAAAACTGACCTACAACTGTCTTTTCTGGGTTTTGTTATTACTAAAATATTAATAATAAAAATGCTGCTCACAGTTTCCTAGTAATCTAAACTTCATTTAATTTTCTGCTTAGTCCTCCATGCTTCTGTTTTTAAAAGGCATTTAGTATTGAAAGAAAGAAAGAGAAACTTGGAAAGGATCTTAAAAGAACAGACAGCATAAAAGCAGGAGGCAAGGTGTCTGAGATTTTCCTCATATGTTTCTGTTCTGTCTGCATGAGTTGTCCTATCTTCAGTTCATTGGAGCTTTCTGGCCTCAAGTCCAGGAAACTTAGTAAATTAGGTTCTTTTGTTGATGATGTCACTCAAATTCTAATACTCAAACCAATAGTCTTTTTTTTTTTTTTTTTTGTAATATAAAGCTTCACTACAGGGTTGGCAGGATGAGTAGAAAAGGCTCTCCTGGGTTATATGGATGACCCCAGAAAAATGACAGAAATAGGAGAAAGAATGTTCAAAATTACAGGATCTTTGGCTTGGAAAGAGTGCAGAATTGAATTAAAAACCTACAACAGAAGCCATAAAACTGAATTTCTGAATAAAAGAATAAAAAGAAAAAAGAAACAAGGCTAGTTTGCTTAGCATATTTTGATCTTTTAATGGTCCCTTGATGTTTGTCATGATGATACTTAGTTGGAAAGATGTTTGCCACAGAGTGTGACTGCTGCATGGTACAGCCTGACTTGGATGTGGTGTGGAGGTGATTATCAGGAACCTTTCCCAAATAGAGTCTTCTTTCTTCTGCTTTCTAGATTTTCACCTGATGGAAGATTAATTGTGTCATGTAGTGAGGATAAAACTATTAAAATTTGGGATACCACAAATAAGCAGTGTGTTAATAACTTCTCAGATTCTGTAGGGTAAGTCTATTCTTTTTGTACACTTGTGTAGTCCAGTTTACTAAGGAGACTTCATTTTAACAATTTAAATAAAGGAATGAGAGTAAAGAAATTGAAACATTAGGCCATGCTGTTCTTCCTTCCTAGATTTGCAAATTTTGTGGACTTTAACCCTAATGGCACGTGCATAGCTTCAGCGGGATCTGATCATACTGTGAAAATCTGGGATATAAGAGTGAACAAATTACTCCAGCATTATCAAGGTAACAGTTCCCCCAAGGAAAAAATTCAGTCTTCAGTGGCTTCTCTGAGAAATGTCAATTCTTCTTCTTGGTGAGGTTTGGTCCTCACAGGGGGGTCACAGCTGTATGTGAATTAGCTACAGAACAGTATAGTTACTTCCATCAACTGCAGATGCAAGAGGGGAGAGGAGGTAAGGGGGCTTTAAAAATGAGGCTTGGACTACAAAAGTAAAGTTAACTGTGGAATTTTCAAACTCTGGTTATCTGACTTTCCATTCTGAATCACAAGGAGTTATGTGAGTCCAAATGGATGTTATAACTGGTAGGAAACAACTTTCCACTGTGCTTGTGTATTGAAACTAAAAAGAAGTGAATTGGTTTTCTTGGTTTATAGTGGATTTACACTAAATCCACATTATTATCACAGGTGAGAGTAATAAAAACTATCACTCATTCAGTGTTTACTGTGTAGTTAATGGCCACAACATCTATAGGTATCACTATTTCCTCCATTTTAAACATAAGAAATTGAGGCTTTAAAAGTGTAACTTGCTCACATAATTGATGGAACTTAGGACTTCCTGCTGACAAAGTGCAAGAGAGAGTGCACTTCTCATTATTGCATTATGCTGCCTACTATTGGGAGGATGGTGTCCAGAAATGAGTTCTCAAACACAAACATCTTCACTCCATAATCCCAAGCCCCAACTTTATTAAATTTAACATATTTTTGGCATTGGGGTTTGAAATAAGGTTCTGAGTTCTGCCACTCTACCACTTGAACCACATCTCCGGTCCTATTAATTTAATTGGAGGCTAACTTATATACCTTATATGAGCTGGTAGTAATCAACTGTTACATTGGTAATATAGCCAAAGACTTTGTAATTATGTAGTCAATAAGATTATCCCTACATGACACATTCTCCTTTTTAAAGTTTTTCTGTCTCATTAATTGGAGCAATGCTGTATAATGCCAAAATGTTTATCTGCTGTAGCAAGCTATAAAGAATTTTAGTGGTGTAACGACATTACCTCTAATTGATTCTTGTTTTCACACTAACACTGCTAAGAGTGCAAATGAACATCTTTAGAATTTAAGGATTGTTCTCTGAAAGAGGAAAAATAGCACACAGGATTACAAAGGACATCAATTGTATTGAAATACAGCTATCAAAATGTTAAAGATCATGTGACATAGTAAAGAAGCAGTTATTTTCTGAATTTTGCTTTTGTTTTCTACAAATTAGTTCACAGCTGTGCAGTTAATTGTCTATCATTCCATCCTTCGGGTAACTATCTCATCACTGCCTCTTCTGATGGTTCCCTTAAGATTCTGGATCTCTTAGAAGGAAGACTCATCTATACACTTCAAGGACATACGGTATTAGCCCTAATTTTGTCTTTTAAACAGTATGCATTTTAAATTTTTGATTCATTTTATTATATGCCTGTATTACTTTTCTAGGTGTAGGAGAACATCACAAAAATTGCTGCTATCAGAAATTTTTTTACTTCCCAGACTGCTTTACTATCCCTTGGAAATACTTAATAATTTCTGTCAAAGTCAATGTCTTTGAGCTGGGCATGGTGGTTTGCACCTATAATCCCAGCTATTCAGAAGGATTGCAAATTTGAGGCCATCCTGGGCAAAAGTTAGTGAGTCTCTTATCTCAAAAACAAAATACAAAATAAAATGGCTGAGGGTAATGCATCAAGTGGTAGAGTGCTTGCCTATCATGTGTGAGGCCCTAGGTTCAATCCCTAGCACCTAAAGAATAAGCAAATGTCTTTCAATAGCCAATTAAGTGAATACTATTATCTTCATCAATATGTAGCATAGATTGACTAGTTAAAGGCAATGGTTAAGTTTATTTCTTACTGCGTATCTTTCTCCTTATGTATATGCCGTTTTACTAACTGATATAGCCTCTAACCCCCCACCCCACCCTTTGTTCCTTTCTCTAATCTTATTGGTGAGTTTAGGAGAAATTTGGCAACATTGTCTACTCTCCTGCCCTGGGCTGGGAGCCTGTCCTCACTGCTTTCCTCTGATACCTGTTATGGAGAGTCTTGTCCTTACCCATTGTTGCCTGTAAATGGGTAGTGAAACCTGGCTCATTCATTACCAGTTTTAAAAAAGCTCATTTGCCTTACTGATGATCCATATTCTCTTTCTATAAATTTTATTAGTGAGAAAGGTGATATTTTGACTCCTATATGCCTTATTCCTTTGTCTTATTTCTCAGTTGACTTAGAACTAATGGAGAGGAAGAGTTGAGAAAAATAATTATAAGAACTATCCTTCCTTGTGGGTAATATTCAAACTTTTCTGAGTATTTTAAAGTAAATCTTTTTTTTAATACACTAGGTACTTAATTTTGGCCAAGCATAGGCTCTTTAATCAAACGGGCTTTTTGGTCTACAAGAGAAAGGTTTTTTAGGCTTTTTGTTGTTGTTTAGTTTTTTGGCAGTAGTGTAGTTTGAACTCAGGGCCTCAGTCTTGCTAGGCAGGGGCTCTACCACTTGAGCCACACCCCCAGCCTGAGAAGGGTTCTTTATACCTTCATATATCCTTGCCTGGCTTCCTGCTTTGCTTTTGTTCTGAAACAGTGTTAGGGTGAAGCACAAATGGGCTAACCAGCTCAGATACATGAATACACATGGATTTAGTCTGAAAAAACACAACCAGTAAAAGTAGCCAGTGATTGATATACCCATGAAGGAAGTACAAAATGATAGGGAAAATGTATACATAACATTTTAGAAGAAAAACACTGTACATAAAGATGGAATGTTTCAGAGGCTAGCTGTGAGGATGTTTATGAAACTATAATGACCTAAGTCTGTGGCATGGTGTACTTGAATAATGCAAAATATTTTCTCCCAAAGTTTGCTTGTACAGATTAAGGACTACTCAAAATAAACAGAATATTTTGATATATTTGAGATGAGACATAATCCCTCTTATCTTGACTGAAAAATTGACCTACAGGCTATGTGACCTTGTGACTAGGCCAAATTCAGTCTTGTCCAACTCCACAGTAATTGCTTAATTTCAAGGGCTCATTATCTCTCACCTACGTAATTATAATAACTTCCTTAACTGGCTTCCAGTTATTCTTACAATTGTGATACTGATTCTCATCAATCACTACTCTCCTCCTATTTATGTTCTTCTCTTAAACTTTTAGGGGCTCACTGTTGCCTACATCAGAAAAGAAAACTCAGCAGAACCTATTGTGATCAGGAAAAGGTCTTTGCTTATATAACCTCATTCCTGTCACACGTGTATTAATCATTTGCTAATCATTGATTGAATATAGAACAGAAAGCTAGAAAACCTTATCAAAAATTTTTTTCAACTTACATGTGTACAAATTTCGTTAAAGGAGAAAAAGATTATTTGCTCATTAATTCTTAATGTTTCTTTTTTTATTTAGTATCATTTACTTGTGTTTTGATATAATTGGGTTGGTTCTTTGATTATCTTTAATCTGCCAGCATTAATATGCATAAGTAGTCTATGTAAACTAAGATTCAGAGTTGCTACTCACAGTCCTTCTTGACCATGAGAAGGCATCACCAAGTTCACCAAGTACTTTTTTCTCTTATCCCTTTATTTCCTAGGGACCCGTCTTTACTGTTTCATTTTCAAAAGGTGGAGAGCTGTTTGCATCAGGAGGTGCAGATACACAGGTTTGTACATTTTTCACCTTCCTCTTTCATTTGGGTACTGGGATTTGAGCTGGATAAAAGGAATCTTTGACTTCAGGTAAGAGTTTTAACAACCAGATAGTTTGTGTATGTTAAGATGATTATCAATGGGTTTATATTTTAATTTAGTGACAGGAAGTTTGCCGTCTAATAGCTGAAATATTTCCAATTCATACAGTTGAAATTCAGCAGTTATTTTATTTTGCTCATTTTTATACTTACTTACACTTGTAATTGACATTCAGCAAATGTCCAGTTTTACAGTGAAGCCCTTTTACCTGAATTATTTCCTAATTTATTGTCCTGTATGACTTGTTATTTCAAGTGTTAAATAGCTACATAATGTGTACTTGAGGACAATAAGAACAAATCTTTTATGATGCAAATCTGTATTTACATGAAATGATGAACATTCATCTGATAGCCAGATTTATTGAATATAGTAGATGATCAAACCAAAAAGCACAATTTGGGGCCTTGGGTGATGGTGGAGGGGGTAGAATTTCAAGGTAACAACGTATTACCTTACTATGAACTTTAAGCCAAACATGAAGACAATTTAAAATGCTAAATCTACCCCCCACCATGCCTTAAAAAAATGTTTAGAAATTGTAACATTGTTGAAATATATATGTATAGATGTATGTACATGTATATGTGTGTATATAGTAGGCTTTCTGGCTACCTTGAAGGATAATTCTGTATATTCAATTTTTTAAATCAGTTCAATTATTTGTACATGCAAGTCAATAACTGCCAACATCATTTACTTGTTTTTAGGTCTTATTGTGGAGGTCTAACTTTGATGAATTGCATTGTAAAGATCTTAATAAAAGAAATCTCAAAAGATTGCATTTTGATTCACAACCACACCTTCTTGACATCTATCCAAGAACACCACATCCGCATGAAAGAAAAGTTGAGACTGTTGAAGTGAGTATTTTGTGCATATCTCTCCTACACTTTATGTACATTATGGGTTTGTTAGGCCACAAGATGCTTGAAATTATACATAATTTATAAAACCTAGTCCTGCCCTAAAACAGCAGCACTTTGAGAAAGTCAGTTGTTTCCACTAATAAAATAAAACTATAGGCATATGGTAATGTGTAATAATGTTAAAGGCTCTTATATTGACTTCTTGAAGGCTCAGAAATAAAATGAAAAATTACATTGATAGAACTGGGTGTGGTGGTGCACACCTGTAATCCCAGTACTCCAGAACCTGAGGTAGGAAGATCATGAGAAACCCTGTCTCAAATAAATAAATAAATAAATAAATAAATAAATGAAATAAAAAACTTTTGCATTGAAAATAATAGTAAAGGCCTCTGGTGACTGTGAAGTCTGAGTTGACTTCATATTTTAGACATTTTTAGGGAGGTTATATGATGGGTCTCATGAGAACAGGGACGAAGGACAAGAACTTTTGTAACCTACATGATCACTTAAAAGAAAACATCTAGGCATTAAATCTAATAAACAAGACCATTTTATTGCTTGTCTACATGTATTATTAGGAATGAAATTATCTACTTAACTGTAGATTTTTTTTTTAAGGTAAGAAATCTTCTTTTGTTGAAAATTTACACAACTCAGTATTGTAATAAACATTTTTTTTTTCCAAAAAATGATAGTGCTATGCTAGAGAAGAAACTATTAACTGGGGAGATTTACTTGTAGTGGCAAGACAGACTTTTATCAATACAGAATAAATATTAACAGCATTCTTGAGTCAATGTTGAGACCCAACAAAATATAAGAACCAAGTGAGGTGTAATAAGTAATTATCCAGAGAAGAAGGTGGTGCATTCTTGGATGATAAAACTGTCTCTGAAAACTGCTGCATGTCAGTTAGTCATCCTCTCAGCTCACCTTCAAACTGCAGGACTTGTCTCAGGCTCCCTTTTAAAGGGCTATCTTCAGAGGAAAGCAGAGAGGAACTCTGTTATCCTTAGTGAAATGTAAAATAACTATAGAAATATAACACAGTTTAACTATAGAAATAGAACACAGTTTAATAAATAGATTGAAAATGATCTAACTATGAAATATAGGCAAAAGAGTAAATGTTACATATGGCAGGACTAACTGGAAAAAATGACATTTTTATTTCCCTGTTGCCCCCCATTCACTGTCATTCTGCTATACCAACAACAACAAAAAATGTTTCACATTTCCTCCCACTAAGAAAATGAGGGAAAATAACAAGGGAAGCAGTTTTTCTTTTGAACAGTTTCTTGAACACCTCCAGTACCAATTACTCACAAGGTGAGTATTTCACAGAAAATGATTAACTCACAAGAAATCCTTAAGCAAAGCTATTTTGGAGTTCTTTTTTTTTTTTTTTTCATTTTTCTTTTATTATTCATATGTGCATACAAGGCTTGGTTCATTTCTCCCCCCTGCCCCCACCCCCTCCCTTACCACCCACTCCACCCCCTCCCCTCCCCCCCCTCAATACCCAGCAGAAACTATTTTGCCCTTATCTCTAATTTTGTTGTAGAGAGAGTATAAGCAATAATAGGAAGGAACAAGGGGTTTTGCTGGTTGAGATAAGGATAGCTATACAGGGCATTGACTCACATTGATTTCTGTGCATGGGTGTTACCTTCTAGGTTAATTCTTTTTGATCTAACCTTTTCTCTAGTTCCTGGTCCCCTTTTCCTATTGGCCTCAGTTGCTTTAAGGTATCTGCTTTAGTTTCTCTGCATTAAGGGCAACAAATGCTAGCTAGTTTTTTAGGTGTCTTACCTATCCTCACCCCTCCCTTGTGTGCTCTCGCTTTTATCATGTGCTCATAGTCCAATCCCCTTGTTGTGTTTGCCCTTGATCTAATGTCCACATATGAGGGAGAACATACGATTTTTGGTCTTTTGGGCCAGGCTAACCTCACTCAGAATGATGTTCTCCAATTCCATCCATTTACCAGCGAATGATAACATTTCGTTCTTCTTCATGGCTGCATAAAATTCCATTGTGTATAGATACCACATTTTCTTAATCCATTCGTCAGTGTGGGGCATCTTGGCTGTTTCCATAACTTGGCTATTGTGAATAGTGCCGCAATAAACATGGATGTGCAGGTGCCTCTGGAGTAACAGTCTTTTGGGTATATCCCCAAGAGTGGTATTGCTGGATCAAATGGTAGATCGATGTCCAGCTTTTTAAGTAGCCTCCAAATTTTTTTCCAGAGTGGTTGTACTAGTCTACATTCCCACCAACAGTGTAAGAGGGTTCCTTTTTCCCCGCATCCTCGCCAACACCTGTTGTTGGTGGTGTTGCTGATGATGGCTATTCTAACAGGGGTGAGGTGGAATCTTAGTGTGGTTTTAATTTGCATTTCCTTTATTGCTAGAGATGGTGAGCATTTTTTCATGTGTTTTGGCCATTTGAATTTCTTCTTTTGAGAAAGTTCTGTTTAGTTCACTGCCCATTTCTTTATTGGTTCATTAGTTTTGGGAGAATTTAGTTTTTTAAGTTCCCTGTATATTCTGGTTATCAGTCCTTTGTCTGATGTATATTGGCAAATATTTTCTCCCACTCTGTGGGTGTTCTCTTCAGTTTAGAGACCATTTCTTTTGATGAACAGAAGCTTTTTAGTTTTATGAGGTCCCATTTATCTATGCTATCTCTTAGTTGCTGTGCTGCTGGGGTTTCATTGAGAAAGTTCTTACCTATACCTACTAACTCCAGAGTATTTCCTACTCTTTCTTGTATCAACTTAAGAGTTTGGGTCTGATATTAAGATCCTTGATCCATTTTGAGTTAATCTTGGTATAGGGTGATATACATGGATCTAGTTTCAGTTTTTTGCAGACTGCTAACCAGTTTTCCCAGCAGTTTTTGTTGAAGAGGCTGCTATTTCTCCATCGTATATTTTTAGCTCCTTTGTCAAAGATAAGTTGCTTATAGTTGTGTGGCTTCATATCTGGATCCTCTATTCTGTTCCACTGGTCTTCATGTCTGTTTTTGTGCCAGTACCATGCTGTTTTTATTGTTATTGCTTTGTAATATAGTTTGAAGTCAGGTATTGTGATACCTCCTGCATTGTTCTTTTGACTGAGTATTGCCTTGGCTATTCGTGGCCTCTTGTGTTTCCATATAAATTTAACAGTAGATTTTTCAATCTCTTTAATGAATGTCATTGGAATTTTGATGGGAATTGCATTAAACATGTAGATTACTTTGGGAGTATCGACATTTTTACTATGTTGATTCTACCAATCCATGAGCATGGGAGATCTCTCCACTTTCTATAGTCTTCCTCAATCTCTTTCTTCAGAAGTGTATAGTTTTCCTTGTAGAGGTCTTTCACATCTTTTGTTAGGTTTACACCTAGGTATTTGATTTTTTTTGAGGCTATTGTAAATGGAATTGTTTTCATACATTCTTTTTCAGTTTGCTCATTGTTAGTGTATAGAAATGCTAATGATTTTTCTATGTTGATTTTATATCCTGCTACCTTGCTATAGCTATTGATGATGTCTAGAAGCTTCTGAGTAGAGTTTTTTGGGTCTTTAAGGTATAGGATCATGTCGTCTGCAAATAGGGATATTTTGACAGTTTCTTTACCTATTTGTATTCCTTTTATTCCTTCTTCTTGCCTAATTGCTCTGGCTAGGAATTCCAGTACTATGTTGAATAGGAGTGGAGATAGTGGGCATCCTTGTCTGGTTCCTGATTTTAGAGGGAATGGTTTTAATTTTCTCCGTTAAGTATAATGCTGGCTGTAGGTTTGTCATATATAGCTTTTATAATGTTGAGGAACTTTCCTTCTATTCCTAGTTTTCTTAGAGCTTTTATCATGAAATGATGTTGGATCTTATCAAAGGCTTTTTCTGCATCTATTGAGATGATCAAGTGGTTTTTGTCTTTGCTTCTGTTAATGTGGTTTATTACGTTTATTGATTTTCGTATGTTGAACCACCCCTGCATCCCTGGGATGAAGCCTACTTGGTCGTGGTGAATAATCTTTTTGATGTGTTGCTGAATTCGATTTGCCATTATTTTGTTGAGGATTTTTGCATCAATGTTCATTAAGGAGATTGGCCTATAGTTCTCCTTTTTGGAGGTGTCTTTGCCTGGTTTTGGGATAAGTGTAATACTGGCTTCATAAAATGTGTTTGGCAGTTTTCCTTCCCTTTCTATTTCATGGAACAGTTTAAGGAGGGTTGGTATCAGTTCTTCTTTAAAGGTCTGATAGAATTCAGCAGAGAATCCATCAGGTCCTGGACTTTTCTTTTTGGGGAGACTCTTGATTGCTGCTTCAATTTCATTTTGTGTTATAGTCTATTCAGGTGATTAATTTCCTCTTGGTTCAGTTTTGGATGATCATATGTATCTAGAAATCTGTCCATTTCTTTTAGATTTTCAAATTTATTTGAATATAGGTTCTCAAAGTAGTCTCTGATGATTTCCTGGACTTCCATGGTGTTTGTTGTTATCTCCCCTTTTGCATTCCTATTCTACTAATTTGGGTTTTTTCTCTCCTCATTTTAGTCAGGTTTGCCAGGGGTCTATCGATCTTGTTTATTTTTTCAAAGAACCAACTTTTTGTTTCATTAATTCTTTGTATGGTTTTTTTGGTTTCTATTTCGTTGATTTCAGCTCTTATTTTTATTATTTCTCTCCTTCTATTTGTTTTGGGATTTGCTTGTTCTTGTTTTTCTAGGAGTTTGAGATGTATCATTAGGTCATTGATTTGGGATCTTTCAATCTTTTTAATATATGCACTCATGGCTATAAACTTTCCTCTCAAGACTGCCTTAGCTGTGTCCCATAGGTTCCGGTAGGTTGTGTTTTCATTTTCATTGACTTCCAGGAACTTTTTAATTTCCTCTTTTATTGCATCGATGATCCATTCTTCATTAAGTAATGAGTTATTTAGTTTCCAGCTGTTTGCATGTTTTTTGTCTTTACTTTTGTTGTTGAGTTCTACTTTTACTGCATTGTGGTCAGATAGTATGCATGGTATTATTTCTATTTTCTTATATTTGCTGAGGCTTGCTTTGTGCCCTAGGATATGATCTATTTTGGAGAAGGTTCCATGGGCTGCTGAGAAGAATGTATATTGTGTAGAGGTTGGATGAAATGTTCTGTAGACATCTACTAGGTCCACTTGATCTATTGCATATTTTAGATCTTGGATTTCTTTATTGATTTTTTGTTTGGATGACCTATCTATTGATGATAATGGGTGTTAAAGTCTCCCACAACCACTGTGTTGGCGTTTATATATGCTTTTAGGTCTTTCAGGGTATGTTTGATGAAATTGGGTGCGTTGACATTGGGTGCGTACAGATTGATGATTATTATTTCCTTTTGGTCTATTTCCCCTTTTATTAGTATGGAATGTCCTTCTTTATCTCGTTTGATCAATGTAGGTTTGAAGTCTACTTTGTCAGAGATAAGTATTGCTACTCCTGCTGTTTTCGGGGCCATTGGCTTGGTAAATCTTCTTCCAGCCTTTCATCCTAAGCATATGCTTATTTCTGTCGGTGAGATGAGTCTCCTGTAAGCAACAAATTGTTGGATCTTCTTTTTTAATCCATTTTGTCAAACGGTGTCTTTTGATGGGTGAATTAAGTCCATTAACATTAAGTGTTAGTACTGATAGGTATGTGGTGATTCCTGCCATTTAGTTATCTTAGTTGTTTGAAGGTTTGATTGTGTGTACCTAACTTGATGTTACTCTCTACTGTCTTGCTTTTTCTTATCCTGTGGTTTGGTGCTGCCTGCCTTTTCATGGTTAAGTTGGGTGTCACTTTCTGTGTGCAGGATCCCTTGCAGAATCTTTTGTAATGGTGGCTTTGTGGTCACATATTGTTTTAGTTTCTGCTTATCATGGAAGACTTTTATTGCTCCATCTATTTTGAATGATAGCTTTGCTGGGTAGAGTATCCTGGGGTTGAAGTTATTTTCATTCAGTGCCCGGAAGATCTCACCCACGCTCTTCTTGCTTTTAATGTTTCTGTTGAGAAGTCTGCTGTGATTTTGATGGGTTTACCTTTGTATGTTACTTGTTTTTTCTCTCTTACAGCCTTCAATATTCTTTCCTTAGTTTCTGAACTTGTTGTTTTAATGATGATATGTCGTGGAGTAGTTCTATTTTGATCTGGTCTGTTTGGTGTCCTGGAGGCCTCTTGCATTTGTATGGGAATATCTTTCTCTAGATTTGGGAAATTTTCCGTTATTATTTTGTTGAATATATTACGCATTCCCTTCGCTTGCACCTCTTCTCCTTCTTCGATGCCCATGATTCTCAAGTTTGGTCTTTTGATGGAGTCAGTGAGTTCTTGCATTTTCTTTTCACAGGTCTTGAGTTGTTTAATTAATAGTTCTTCAGTTTTTCCTTTAATTACCATTTCATCTTCAAGTTCTGAGATTCTGTCTTCTGTTTGTTCTATTCTGCTGGATTGGCCTTCCGTTTTGTTTTGCAGTTCTGTTTCGTTCTTTTTTCTGAGGTTTTCCATATCCTGGCTGTTTTCTTCTTTATTGTTGTCTATTTTTGTCCTGAGTTCATTTATCCATTTATTCATTGTGTTCTCTCTTTCACTTTGGTGTTTATACAGTGCTTCTATGGTTTCCTTTATTTCTTCTTTTGCTTTTTCAAATTCTCTATTTTTATTGTCTTGGAATTTCTTGAGTGTCTCCTGTACATTTTGGTTGACCCTATCCAGTATCATCTCTATAAAATTCTCATTGAGTACTTGTAGTATGTCTTCTTTTAAATTATTCTTGTGGGCTTCATTGGGTCCTTTGGCATAGTTTATCTTCATTTTGTTGGAGTCTGGATCTGAGTTTCTGTTCTCTTCATTCCCCTCTGGTTCCTGTACTAATTTTTTGCTGTGGGGAAACTGGTTTCCTTGTTTTTTCTGTCTTCCTGTCATTGTCCTTGGTGTTGTTACTGTCCCTGTACTGTGTGTAATTAAGTATTTTCTAGCTTGTAATAATAACAATGGTAATATTGAGAATGGAAGAGTGAGCTGAGATGGAAAGCAAGAAGTTAAAGAAAAGGGGAAAACAAATATACAGACAAGAGGGAGAAAGCAGAACAAGGTATCAGACAAGAGAGTTTCAAAGGTATAAACAGGGAGTGTTAGTGTACTAATCGACAGTAAGCTGAACAGACATTAGAGAGACAGAGAGAGGATTGAAAATCAAAGATAAAAAAATAAAAAATAAGTATATGAAAGTAATATCTATATATAAAATGAATTAAAATAAAATGGAAAATAGAAAATTAAAAAAAAAAAAAACCAAAAAACTTCCAAGTTTATATGCAATGCAATTTCAGTCTTAATAATTTGGATGTCCGTCTCAATCTCCAGTCCTGGAGTTGGTGCCTCAGATGTTGTTCTGTAGTTGTCTCATCAAAGGGGATGCATAAAGTAGAACAAAACTACACTCACACACACAAGAAAAAAAAAAAAAAAAAAGCCCCACCAAGTGTCCCCAGTTCAAATGCAATACAGTTTCAGTAAGTTTTTCGGCTTGCAGGTGTAATTCGGTTGTTCTCTCATCAAAGGTAGGGAGAAAAAGAAAAAAAAGCGTCTGGAGGCAGTTCTGAGGGTGGTATCTGCAACTGTGGCTTGCCTGCCTGCTGCTCTCAGCCTGTAGCTGGCGGCGTTATTTATGCAGATCTCTGGGGTGAGCTTAGCACTCACCTGGTCCCACAGGCTTTGTTTGCTCAGAGTTCTCCTGTGCAGCCTCTGCTACAGGCTTTCCCCTTTCCAAGCACTGGGAAAGGTGACACTGCCCCGCGTTGTCAGGCCTGCGTGTTTATTTACAGTTCACGTGGGAAGTGGGTCTTCCCTCCTCTCACAAGCGTCCCCGCTCCTGGTTGCTGGGCGCCCCGCTCCCGCCAGAGCCTCTCCGGCCCCCCGGCTTTTATTTACAGTCCCGGGAAGGATTCCCTTCCCCCAATCTTCAGCGCTCAGGGCGCCCCACCCTCTTTCCAGCGTGTCTTAACTGTTCTTATTGCTTAGTACTCAGTTTCTCTTTTTTCCCGGGTGGAGGTCAGTCTGTCCAGTGGGCTGTGCTGCTCTGGCCCAGGCTTGTCTGTGGGGGAACCGCGGTACCGCGAAGCTCACCTGGTCCGCGTCTTCCCAAGCCGTATGGGCGCCGGCCACTGGCGGCCCCGGGGCCTCCTCGGTTCTCCGTTTAAGGTGAAGTGGCGATTCTCTGCGCCGGCTGGAGATGTGGAGGGGTCAAAGTTATGCCTTTTCCCGGTGATTATGCCTGCAAAGTGTGTCTCCAGCGTCTCTCCAAGATTTCACTATAGGAGGCTCGCTTTCTGCTTCCTCCCTCTAGCCGCCATCTTGGAATTTCCTCTATTTTGGAGTTCTGTTTATTATCTGGAAAGGAGAAAAAGGGGAGATAGTATACAGGATACAATCCAGCCAAACAAAGTATTAAAAATTGTAAATCAACCAGTCTGACTGTTTCTGTCAGGGGACTCAAAACCCTAAAATGCTGGAGAGACTCTGGTCTGACAGCTACTGAAGAACACATTTCTCCTTTTTCTTGGCCATCTTGCCTTTGTTTTGCTCCAGAGTTCACTCTAAATGCTCATCTTCTTCTTTGGCCTGCTTCTCCTGAGCATCCAGGTCCTGACAAGTACATCGCACTTGTTCACCAGAATCACTGGCTTATCCAGCAGGAGCTGCTCACATCGTTTCTAGACCTTTGTCTTCTAGAACTGTAGGTTTTCTTGACACATTCCCTTGGGTCCTATAAATTTGAGTTTTCCTCTTCAACAAGGAATTCATCTATTAGCTGCTATTAGTATTTTGCTACCATTTTGTATCATTCTTCTTAAGCCCTTTTCTCTTCTAAGAGCTGGTAACAGAATATTACCCAGTCATCTGTTCCTGTGACTTCATTTTGATCATTTCAGAGCTTTTCTTTGCTCTTAGAGTGGCACTTTGAATTCGAGACTTATTCTTGAGTGGCAATACTCAGTGGCCTCACTCATGGTTCAGGCTCAGATCCCAAACCACCTTCCCTATCTCTATATTCCCCACCCTAACCACTTCTTTAGTTTGGGTTTCTTTAGTCTTGGTGTTTTTTCAGGCACTCTTATTGGTCACAGCTTGTGCATGTGTATGTACAGACAGATTTTTTTTTTTTTTTGAGACAGTGTCTTACCATGTAGGCCTTGCTGGCCTCAAACTTGCTATCCTCCTGCTTCTGCCTCTGCCTCCTAATGCTGGGGTTGCAGGTGTTTACCACCTTGACCAGAAGACTGTTTCTTAATTTTTTTCTTACTTCTGATGATCTACCAGTTTGGGTAAAGTATTAGCCACCATGCTTTATTGTTTCTTTTTGGGGGGAAGGGGGGTTACTGGAGTTTCAACTAAGGGCCTCATGTTTTCTAGGCAGATGCTCTACCACTTGAACCATGCTGCTAGCCCTTTTTTGTTTTGGGTATTTTCAAGATTCAAACTATTTTCCTGCTGGACTTTAACTGTGGTCCTCCATATCTCTGCCTCCCAAGTAGCTAGGAGTACAGCATGAGCTACTGGCACCCAGCTGCTTTATTGTTTCTTAATGCTACTTGTATTATTTTTTTTCCTTCTTCTTTGGGGGTCCTGGGGATCAAACCCAGGGCCTCATGCATGCTAGGAAAGTGCTCTAACACTGTCACATCTCCAGCACTCATTTTTTTTCTTTTATTCTTTAAAAGAAAGAATGGAATTTGCTTGTTGTTCATCACATTTTTTCTTCTTTACTTTCTACAATTACAAGTATATGTGTTGATGCCCTGTGGTCATGTATATTTGTGTAAAATAAATATGATACATATTTTAATTTAACTTAGCATCCTTTTCTTGTGTACCAAAGCTGGCTTATTGACTCTGGGTATTTTTTATTTTAGCATTTCTGTGGCTTGGCTGGACTTCATTAGGAGGAAAGTCCCCTGTTGCCCCTTCGTCTGCTTGGCCATCTTAGCAGGGTAGAGGGTGGCAGAGCTGCAGGCGAGTCTTGAGTCTCCTCCCTCCTCACTCAGTGATGTTTCTTTTCCATGATACCATGCTATCCCAGCATACAGAGAGACTTGAACCATTTTCTCCATGGTTTACTGTTTGCCCCAGTGCATTTAAGTGCTAGACTCTCTTTAAAATGTCAACAAGTTATCTGAGCAGCTGTGCTCTGACGTTATAGCCAGAAAGCCATAAAACCAGCTGGATGCATTGATTGCTAGGTCAGTATGACCCAGGCCATGCAAAGCCACTCTCAACTGTATTTTTCACATACACACTTAAAAATTCTATTAAAAGCTGACTTTTCATTATAGAACTAGAGGTCAGTTACACTGTACTTAATGCTGAGCATTGTGACTGAATTTTCTGGGTTGTGACTGAATTTTCTGGGTGGCCTTGAGGGAGTCAGCCTCATGTACCTGGTTTAAATTGTCTGTAAGTACTTATGGTTCTTTAAGTTAGGTGTATCGTATGGCTTCTTTTGTAAAGCACTTTCAGGTACTGCATTATGAAATGCCAGAGAGGCAATAAGATTCTGCATATGAATAAGTAACTGTCCTTTTTTAAAATCCCATAATAAAGGCAAGGTAGAAAGCTTTCTGGAGAGAAGATATCTTTAGCATTATGAATAAAAAAATTATTAAGTGCCAAATTGTTTTCTAAAGACTTTATGTCACATTAACACATATAGATCCCGCACACAGGCAAAAAACACAAACAAAAAACCCTACTCAATTTAAAACTTTCACCTCAAATGGAATAGTGTAAATTGGAATAGAAGCTGTACTGTATCCATTTATAATTAGTAAATTGTACTTAAAATTCTAAAGTTTGCCGATTAAAATTTTTCAAAGCTTTAGGCAAGTTACATATGTTACTTTGGAAATATTTTAAAGCTGCAAGAACTTTTCTTTAGAACTCATGATTTAAACAAAAATAGGTATTATTAAAATATGAAGAATAAACAGCATGTGAGTTTCTCTAATTTTCTCTTTAGCAGGAACCTTATTTCTGAGTTTGAAGCAAGATAGCATTCCTATAACTGGTATTTTCTTATCTTTTCTATGAGGCTCATTTGAATTTATAATCTCAGTCTTCTGGGTGCAGTTGTTTGGGCTTTTGCAAAAAAACACCAATTTGAAG